ATATATATATATATATATATATATATATATATATATATATATATATATACCTATAAAATAGAGAAGTAAAAATAATTATTTTTCATAAATTAAATTAGCTTAAAAGTGATTATCTTATTAAATATTTATTTTAATTAAAATAATTATCTTATTAATTTTATTCTATTGGTAATATTTTGTAAATTAAATGTTATTATTTATTTAATTATTTATAACAAACAATTATTTATAAAATTAATAAAAATTATTTATATTCATTACAATATGAGTTTCATGGATGATAGATATAATTATTTTCTATAAATACATTTTTTTATAGTAAATGATAAGTTATAATTCAAATAAAGATCTCTAATATATATTAGATGATTTCTAGTCTTAATTTGGCTTGTACAAATGCATTTTTCTATTTGCTTTGCTAATGATATAAAATAATTCTCATGACAATTTTTTTTGCAAAGTATAAAGTAAATTGAAAGAATTTAATTAGTAGTCACTTAAATTATTGGAGTTTTCTATTCCTTTGTCTTTCAACATGAGTTTTCTTTGAATTTCTATTTTTTACATTATCTTTTTATTGTTTATATTTTGGGCCAAATTAATTATTTGTTTAATTTTTGGCAGAAGAAATCTGGATTATTATAGGTGTGAAACAGTGTATGTGGAAAAATGGAATTGTTGTCGAAGATTAGAACTTCTAAAAAAATGAAATATTATATCATAATTTAAATTCAATATATACTTTATATATTCAAACAAGATTATTTATAGAATTTTAAGTATGAAAAATAAATATTTATTTTATATAATAAAAAATATAATTAGGTAATTTTGGTCTATCAAATATAATTGGATCATTTTTAGAAATTATAACACTTAGACTCGCAACAAATTAGAATTAATTACACTTTTTCTTGTATTTAAAATAAAAAAAAATCTAAAAAAAAGGCCCATGAGTTGGTCCTAACCCACAAGGCTTTTATAGATATTTTGGCCCTATGGCCTTTTTCTATGAGTGACTTTTTGGTCCTATAGGCTTTTCTGGCCCCAACCCACATGGATCAGGACCAAACCATATTAGAAGGGCCAAATTGACGAGTCTAATTTTATGTAAAGAAATTACTTTGTTGTACTTAAAATTGAGTTTAGAAATAATGATTTAATATTTAAGTAGATCTTGATGTTTGGTTGAAAAAAGTGTAAGTAATCATGATTACGATATTATTGCCTTGGTTATTTCATGGAATTGGTGATTGGTAAAAATTTGTATTTCGTTTTGTTTGTAAATGAGGTTCCTTCAGATGAACTTAGGTGATTATTGAGCACAATAATTATGGTAAGAAAAGTTAGATTATTGTTGAAATTTGAATTTTATGCATCATATAAGTTTTAAAATTTGGTTATTTTATTGAACTTTAAATTTTATGCAAATATTTCATCGTTGTTTGTGAGGTGATTTAGTGAGAATGGTCATGATGGTGCGCAAGAATGGTTAGTGAGGTCGTTTTCAAGGTAAAGAGATTTAGACTTGTGGTGGAGATTGATATTGCGCGTTCTAGAAAAATAAAGGTGTGGGGTTTACATTTTGGATGAAGATGACGCGTTGTTTACGTTGTGTTGTGGAGGTGCGTGGTGACTAGGGTTTCTGATGCGTTGGGAGGTTTAAGATGATGTTGCAATAATGTGTACATCGTGTTGGACGGATCACCTAAGAAAAAATTGAACTCATTATAACACTGCCAATGTGTATAGTCTGTTGTTGATAATTTTGACGATATCATGGAAAAAAACTAAATTGAACATAAATTATCAAAATTGAAACCATATTAAACATTAAAAAAAAGAATCCCACACTAAATAAAATCGACGAAAATATAAACAAAAAAAGTGTTTAACTCTTTATTAAAATGTGAAAAATGATATTTAATAGCTAGGTTATTTATTATCTTATTTGATTATCTACTCAGACCCAATCCAATTAGATTATGTTAAGTTTCATTTATAGTTAGGTCAAATATGACACAATTCAAATTAATTCAGTGTTGAGTTATGCGATGAGTTTAGTATATGTGATTTAAGACCCATTTGTATATTTTTAACATGAACAAATTGTGTTATGTTTTAATTTTCATGTCTTAAACTAGTTTATACAATTATAAATTGACTTTTTGTGTTTACATTAACTCTACTAATTTTTGTAGTGTTATTTTTTTTATTAGGTTAACACTTGAAAATTATATTTTTTAACAAAAGGGAAAAGAGAAAGATTTTTACAATTTTAACTCAATTGATCCAACTTAATTTAACTTACAGGTTGAATTGGAAGTGGGTCGGGTTGGATTGTGTAATCTATCTAAAAATCTAAAAATTGTTTAATGAATTTGAAGTGATGTTTAAAGAGAAAATTTACTTAAAAATTATGTTTATTAGATTAAAAAGTTGCTTATTGAAATAATTTTTGCTCTAAATAAATGAAAAAAGAAATACCCACTGAGTTGTTTAACATCTCTATGGATTAAGCTTGAAAAAAATTAGTTCTTATAAATGAAATTTATCAAAATGAATTTGAATTTCACTAAACAAATATTTAAAAATACTATACAACTTATTAAATAAATATATAAGTTTCATAAAGATCAAAATCGAGAACGAGTAAATTAATATAGAAGATACTTAATATAAAGATAGTTAAGAATATAAGTATGAGTTTAGATCTTACATTAACTAAAAACAATAAAAGTTGAACAATATATAAAAAATAAAATCTACAAACTCATTGTTTTATGATCTTGAGTAAAATGTGTCATTATTCTTCTTATACGAGTCACTGACTAATGAAATTCAATCTTCCAAACTACATATCTCAAGGTATAAATACCTCATGTTTAAGAGAAAAATTAAGAAGAATTAAATATAAATTTAAAAGTTCTACACCAATTAGAAATGAGCAAAATAAATAATATTAAAAATAAAAATTCACAAACTCATTTATTTATATTTATTTATATGAATTAATGATATTAAATTTCAAAAGTAACAACTCTTAAAAGACACAAACAAAATGAATTTAAATAGAAGAGACGAATAAGAACATTAAGAATTTAAAAAAAAAAGAAAAAAACTCTACAACATGAATTTAAATTGAAGAGAAGAATTGAATAACAAAGAGTTTAAACAAGAAAAAAGAAAGAAGAAATAGATTTTTTTTTCTTTTCTTTTTATTGCTCTGTGTTATTATTTTTGTACACTATAATATTGTACTTTTATTTCTTTTTTTAGCAATTGGGCTGAAAACAGTCCATAATCCAACAACCATATCCAAACACAAAAGAGCTGCCATAAAAAAAACAAAAAACTGAGAAAAAAAAGTAAATTTGGAACTAAAAAAAGGAAAACCAGGTCTGATCTTGAATTGAAGAATAGAAAAACAAATTATACTCGCAATGTTCTTAACAAATTATCTCTGATATTCCTCGGTTTTAATCTTACAAAAATTTTATACTCTTGAAAAACAGTGTAATTTGAGTTTGCTTTTAATTACACATTTTATCACTCAGTTATATAATTTTACAAAATTTTATCATATATTTTTTATTATGATATATTTGATCGATTCGTTGAATATTCAACGGTATGTTGACCTGTTAACATGCCATGAAAAATACATAAAGAAAATAACATTATTTGGTAAAGATCAGTAACGAATTAGTCATTTAATTTTTGGAAAATGATACTTGAACAACCATTTTTGACAACATTTAGACACGCGCACACGTGTCAAAATCTGAGTGGTCCATTTTCATTTAATTTTTCCAACTGGACCACTCAGATTTTGACACGTGTGCGCGTGTTTAAATGTTGTCAAAAATGGTTGTTCAAGTGTCATTTTCCTTAATTTTTTGACGGTGTGAAAACAAAAAGTTGAACAATAATAAAAGGTAAAAAGTTGAATGAATTTTTTTTGTAAATGATGATAATTAATTAATGAAAGTTGAATTAAACATTATTGTGCAGGCAGGTTGTGATTCGAACAGGAAACGAGGTTGTGCAGTGAATAATGGTAGACAGATTTTCTCACGGTTCAGTCTCACTACTAATTTAACGTGGTTGAGTGTGAAAGCATTTTTAAATGTGAAAAACACACATAAGAGTGGATGAGCAGTGAGAGAAGAAAACGAAGGGTATGTGATGGAAAGAAATGCTGCACCCAAATCAAGAAAGAAAGAACAGAACATCGGTTGACATGAGTGAACAAAAAAAGAAGAAAAAGGGATTGTAACATGGCATATGGCATGTGGTTTGGAGTTAGTTATATCTCTCTTGGATCCTTCCTTTCACTTTTTCTTACCATGTGGAACTTTTCAGAATCCTCCACCCACTTCCTCTTTCTTCAGTAAAACCCTTTATCTTTTCCAACCCATTCATTATGTACTCTCAAGCATGCTCCTTTCTTCGTCTTCTTATAATTGCATATGGTCCAACTCTGTTACCCTTTTATATATATTCTTTACAAAAATCATCTTTAAATATAATTCAATCTTATATTCTAATAATGTAATTAGCAATTTTTTTTACCAATAGAATTTGATGCACTGTTTAATTTATGTATATGCTTGCTAAAGAGTGACTTATTTTTGCAGTATTTATGTTCTCTCAGTGAAAGTTAGTACAATAAGAAGAGATCTGATGAGAAAAGGGAACATCAATGCTGTCGTAATTGGTGTTGGTTGCACTGCCAGTGTCTGCTGGTAGAGAGGATGGTGCAAGCAAGTCTTCATCTCTGCAATTAATGAATCCACAATTCATAACAAAACAAAACAAAACATCACCCTCCAAACCAAAGTCATTCTTCTTTTGCTTCACCCTCCAGCAATTTCATCATTATCATAATTTTTTATATATTTTTAATTTAAGAAACTATACATATTACTTTAATAAAATTTTAAGTGTGACAAACAAAATTAAAATCATGTTACACATAATAGGTTTCTGGGCACAGATAATTAGAGCATGTTTTTACCATTTTTTTACATCAAATTCACTATACATGCTCTCAAACATTTTTATAGGTATAAAATTAACATCATATGTAAATACTTATATCTTTCACTTATACGAAAACACTTATTATTACTTTTCTACATATAAATCAATTTTCTAACGATGCTATTAAAATTTAGGAAAATGATACTTGAACAATCATTTTTGACAACATTTAAACACGCGCACACGTGTCTAAATTTGAGTGGTCCAGTTGGAAAAATTAAATGAAAATGGACCACTCAAATTTAGACACGTGTGCACGTGTCTAAATGTTGTCAAAAATGGTTGTTCAAGTGTCATTTTCCTAAAATTTAGTGCCAATAACATTATACCATGCTGATTGATTGCACACTTTCACTGTTATGGATAAAAAGCTTATCCAAGTGAAGGTCGTAATAATAATATAAATGGAAGTTCCTCAGAGGGAGTAACTCTACATGTACTCTCATACTAATTGATGTGACAAAGACTTAACTGCTTCTGCAACAGGTGTTCTCACTAGTGACTCTAATTAGAATATGCTTTAATTTTTTTTATTATATTTTTTAAACTCACAAATGGAGATTAAATATCCGCCATAATTAAATCATATTAATACAAACATTAAATAAGAGCATCCTAATATCTCTCACAATGAATCTCCTTTTCCCTCTTAACCCTCTCCTAAAAGCAAAATAAACCAACCTCTCAACTACCATAACCACCACCTCAATCTCCCTCTCCACTCTTCCCCATTTTCACACCATTTCCTCTCTCTCTCACTCTCACTCTCACCCTCCTCTTTCTCTCTCATAAGCAACAAAATGCAAAGTCTCCCACCTCTCCATCTCCTTCCTCATTCACCAAAATCCAAACTTTTGAGCAACTAAATCCTACCCTTTTTCCCAAACAAACAAACAAAACAAAATCCAACACCCCCACTTCTTCCTTCCTCCCAAAACCCCACCTTTCCCCTTCAAACTCCACAAAAAACACAACCCTAATTAAAAAAAAGCAACCTTTGTTCTATTCTAGTTTCCACTTTCAATGTGGCAACCTTGGAACAAACCACGTTCATCTTCCTTCTCATGTTCTTCCTTCAAAGACATTCAAACCCTAATATTAGATGAACCCTCCACCACCAAACCCAAACCCTCAATTTTCCACCGGGTCACACTCGCCAACAAGCTCCTCCGAGCGTGGTCAAATCACCCCAAACTTACCGCACGCGCCTCCGACGAAGCCCCACGCGCCGTCCAGCCGCAACCCCTGCCGTCCATCCCCCGTTCGGAGCAGCGCGTAGTGGTGTACTTCACGAGCCTGCGCGTGGTCCGCGGCACGTTCGAGGACTGCAAAACGGTGCGTTCCATCCTGCGCGGATTCCGCGTTGCGCTGGACGAGCGCGACGTTTCAATGGACTCGGGTTTTCTCGCGGAGCTCCGTCGGGTCACGGGTCGCAAAACGGGTCTGACTCTTCCTCGTGTGTTCGTCAACGGAAGGTACGTGGGTGGTGCCGAGGAGGTGCGGTGGCTGCACGAGAATGGCGAGCTCAGGAAGCTCCTCGAAGGTCTGCCCGCAACAGATTCTCATATGCGCGCTTGCCACGTGTGCGACGACCACAGGTTCCTGCTGTGCGGGGAATGTTCCGGTGCGCGCAAGGTATACGCGGAGAAAGGTGGGTTCAAGACGTGTACGGCGTGCAACGAGAGTGGCCTCATCAGGTGCATCTCCTGTTCTTGCTGACCACGTGCACCTGCACCTGCACCTCTTTCTCTTTCTCTCTCTCATGATTCATGATGATCTTTTTCTCATCCCAGTGTGAGTGAGGGAGTGACACCTAATTAATAATTAAAATTAAAAAATAGCAAAATAGAGAATGGAGGTGTCAGTTATGTCAACAAAAAATAATAAATCAATTTTTTTTTAACATTTATGTGTAGATTTGTGGATTATCTTATTCAGTTTTATAGTCTTATGGGCTTGTAAGAAATGTCTAGGCCCAATAGGTGTAGATGAATGGGATTTGAGTTTTCTGCCTCTGAAATTTGAGTTTTTTGCTAACTTGAACTATGCTGTTTACTTTACGTAATCACATTCTGTTTTTCCTTCGTTTATATGATATCTTTGAATAGAAATCAAAGAATGGACTAAAACTAAGTTTATGTATGTAACAACTAATAGAAAAATGAGAGATTAATTATAAGTTCTAACCAAAGTTTGGGTTTTATAGGGTGGAAATGAACTAAATATATGAAATAAAAGAAATAAGTGATTATCTTTGATTAGTGATAATCTGTTATGCATATTTTTTTTTACTTATTTGTATGGTTTTGGAAACTAAGAATATGTACCACTATACTCCAAACTTCAAATCGGTCCTTAGTCAACACTATAGGGCTATTGTACGCAAACGACATCGTTTGCTTTGCTCATATTATATTCTTACAAATTTTATTTTAATGTTGAAGTCATATAACTCAATTTTATATATCTTTAAGTTAGACTAAGTAATAGTACATAATAATAGTTGTTATTTTAATATTCAAAAATACTTTTTTATTTTTAAAATTAAGTTGTTAAAAGAAAATTTGTCGTATTCTTTTAATTAATTTTAATATGTCCTGAAAGACCGAACTTTTCTAGTAAGAATGGCTTCAACTAATCCAAAACAACTTCTACGCACTTTTCTGAAACAGCACTTTTGAAATTATATTTTTGAAATAAAATTTTCAAAGCGTATGAAATATATTTTGGGAAAGGATTTTTAGACTAATATTTTTCTGAATATTTTTTTCGTATTTGAACTTTTTCCAATTATCATGGGGTGTTGTTAATAATAATGGGGTTACAGGACGCAATAGACCCAAAATAAAGAAGAGTTGGGTCCATTTATCTGTGTGAGGCTAATTGGCAAGTGTACTAATCTAGTTGGAGTGTTACTCCCTAAACCATCCCATGATTTTTCCTATACTTCCACATTTTCTAAACATTCCAAAACTATTCTTGAATTTTAAAAAAACCTTACATTTCTTCTTTTGTCAAAAGGATTTCAAAATTCATTTAAGAAATTTTTTTTCGACAGATTTTAAAATTCGTTAAATTTTCTTTCAAATTTTTAATAAATTTTGAAATTCGTTGAATCTTGTAAAATTTTTTTATCAAATTTTGAAATTCATTGAAAGAGTGATTTTTAACGGTTGAATTTTTTTTTTCATAAACAGATTTTAAAATTTGTCTGAGTGATTTTTTGAAAGTTTTAACGAATTTCGAAATTAGATAAAGAAAGATATTTTTAGAATGTAGAGATGTAGGGAGAAAAGTGAGAAGGTGCAAGAAATAACCTTCTCTATTTGCAAATTATATAAGTTTCTCTATTTGCAAATTATATAAGTTTAATATATAGGTTGATGGACTAACTTTCTTAAATTTAATTTCATAAAAGTATATAAAGAAAAGTAACTTTTTATAATTTTTAACTCAATGATTATATAATTTTATACTGGCGGTAAGCTATTTAGGTCATATAAAAAAAATTGAATTTTGTGCAAGTAAAAACAATGCAGATTTCTAATCAAACAATGCATATTAGAGACAGAATTTAGAAAAATATAAGCAAAGGCACTCTTTCTACAGGATTTCTAATTATTGACAACTTTCATATTTTTAATTTAACTTTACTTTTATTTGTAAATATTAGAAACGGAAATCTCCATTTTTGTGGTCAAAAGAGGGTTTTCGAGATTTTAAAATGGTGAAGTCTATTTTAAAATATTTATAAAGAAACTTTTCTAAACAATTCCTAGTTCTTCTTTGGATAAAATAAATTATTTGGTATTTATTTGAAAAAAATGAAAACAAAAACGAATCAAGTTTATTAATTTATAAATTAAACTGATTTATAAGTACTAAAAGCTATTCATTTTCACAAACCCTAAACTTAGAATGAAATCCAAAATGAAAATTTTCACAAATTCTTGTATGCATGGATTCATTTTTTAGAAAGACAAAGAAAGAAAACATAGAGAACTTACCTATAGTTCTTTATAGAAAGAATGGTGGTGTTGTCCTAGTTGCTAACTTAACTCTATTTTTTCCTATACGAAGATAAAGAGTTTGGTTGTGGAGTTTTAGAATGTTTAGAGATATGAAATTGAAAAAGGAAAATGTGCTAGAGCAGTTGGTTTTAGATTTTTGGTTGTATAAAACTCTGATTTTGGAAATATTTATTTTTGCAAGGTCATCCTATTAGATGTAAGTGAGTACGATCTTATAGATTTACAAATGTCCTTAACAATTTTTTTCACAATGCAATAGATGAAATTTCACTTACAAGGTTATGTTTAATTCTCTAACAAAAATTAGTTATATTATTCAAGATAAATTACAAGTATTACTTTCACTTACAATTTAGAATTGAATACACAAAATCACTCAACTATTCGAGTATTAATGACCTTTTTAGGCAAAGAACAAAATGGGTCATTAAACTATCTACTAAACTCTCCCTAAATTTAATGCCACAAAAAAAAAAATCCTCCAAACTATACAGAGATAAAGTTATTTTCATAAGGCTTCACACTCCAATAATGCTCTCAAGGTTGTATGTAAATAAAAAGAGTCATCCAATTGATGTTAGAAGTTATATAAGATCATCTAAACCCGATTCTTAGAGAATAATTTGTTCAGTATAGTTTGTCATATGAAGTTACGTCAAATGTTTCTTGTGTATTCATAGTAAAATAAATATAATGTAATAACATTATTTTTTTCTTCCTTTACCAAATTCTTCGTATAGTAAACATATAATAATAAATTAATATAATATAAGTAGTGGTAGGAAGTAAGGTTACTAAGGGAAGTTTTTTTCTCTTTCTCTTTTGGTTTTATTTTTTTTTCTCCTCTTGTTAAAAAACTAGTTATATGAAGTTAAAACTGAAAAAATAAGGAACATTCTGAACTGGTCAAAATTCAAAAATAGTTTGGAAATAACTCTGACGTTTTAACTTGGGAAAATTATTTTAAGGTAAGGAGAAGTTAGAAATATCATATGATACATGTTTAAGTTTATTCGATATGTTCTAATGTGTTTGATATCTATACGCTTTTATATATATTTTTCTCTTAATCAGTATTGTGGGAGTTATTGTAGTGTAATTTGATTATTGTTATATATTTTTATTTTATTTATTTATATTGCACAATATTTCAATTAATTGAAGTTATGAGTTATCTTAAAAAAAATGTGATAGTAAAATTTGTTTTTAGTAATCCTCATGCGTTAATGGAATGAGATCTTAAATATTGGTTTGTGCGTGATCTCGATAATTTTTTTTTTTACTTTTAACTATTGGACGAAACTGAAATTTTTACATATAGTCCAACACATATTTATTCAATCTAATAATTGTGATTGATAATTAGAGGTATGTGGTTAGAAAAATAATTTTCACAATTTTGAGAGAAATATGAAGGTAACTTTGTTTAGTCATGGTAAAACTCCTGTTTTTACTTAGTCAACTGTTGAATCAAGCTTAAATTTTTATACATAGTTTGTAACACATAGTTATTTACTTTAACCATTGGTATTGTTAGTTAAAGGTCTTTGGTTGGAGATATTTGTCTCGTAGTCTTAATCTTAAAAACATGTTGTCAGAACTTAAACAATAAACTTTTGTTTTAAATATCATGGTAGGGTAAACTATGTGAGACATGAAAGGTGTAGAATCTCTGTCATTCAAATTCTCAGACCTATAACTATAACTCCTATAAGGTACGAGAGAGACATGAAAGGTGTAGAATCTCTATGTCATTCAATACATTGGCCTTTTAGAAAAAAAAAATCAGATGTCTATGTTATAAATTATTTGTGTTTTAAGCCATGAGGACTGTATTATATAGATATATGGTGATTGTTGTTGAATTGTTAATCTAAGAGTGGATGACGAATATTATGTGTGAAGTAAAGTTAATTGTTTTATTGATTTTTTCTGCTATGAAAATTGTATAATATGTTGGATATTTATTGGAATTGTTGAGTCTTTTATTGTTGGAATTTCGAACAAAATTCACTTGCTTACCCTTATACTTTTGTGGATGTGGTTTTCATATGCAATGATTGCATAAATTTGTAAAAAATGCGAGCAGAGAATCAGATTGAGGTTCCTGTAGGAAATCTTGAAGGACAGTGAAAATAATTTTCTATTATATTGTAAACATGCATTATATTTTAAAAATTAGAAATGTACATATGTATTGAATATTAAGAGTAACTTGGTTATACTCTGTTAGGGATTTGGTGAAAACTATCATATGTAATATAAATAAAATGTCTATTAAAATTTATGAAATGATGTAATTAATAATATATTATCTACTAATTTGGATTGTCATATCGGTAATAGAAATCACAAATTATTGACGCAATTTACTAACAAAATAGACCATCAAATACATTATCGACAAAAATATTTGTCGATAATAATAATTTACTGATGAATCAAAACGACAAATTCATTATCGACAAATAATTCTATTGGTAATTTAAATTATAAAGTTCGTCGGTAACTTTTAGTTTACATTTCAATTTTTTTTTCGTTGGTAGAAGTTCTTTCGTCAATAAAAACTTTTTATAGTAAATAAAAACTTTTTATGGTAAAATACTTTAATTTCTTATTATATTATTATTTAAGGATAATTAAATTATACTTGATTTTTTCAGAGGAGAAATATAAACTTTTATATATATATATATAACTCCTTAATTTTATTACACATAAAAGTTTCATTGTCTTTACAATACGTAAATTTGGAAATATTTTTTAACAATACTGTACTGTGAGAGAGTTCATATATAAATTTTATTAAAAAATCATATAGAATAAATTGCTAAACGTCATATTTATCTAAATAATATTCTAAACATAA